CCTCGCCCCCCCCCGCAGCCGACTGCGCCTTGTGCTGCAGGGGGGTTGCCGGGAGGCACCGGTCCCTCCAGCTGCCAGGGGCCACAGTCCTCTCCCCTCCCCCCCCGAGCCTCTGCAGGTATGGTGCACCCCCTCTGCTCCTGCCCTCCCTTGCCCAGCACGGGCAGGGACCAAGGTGGAGTTGGAGCCGAGCTTTCCCCAGGGGTGGGGGCTGGGAGTGCTGTGGTGACAGGTGGGTCCGTGGGGCCGCCTGCTGAGATCTGTGTTGGCCTGGGTGGCTATGGGGAATGCACCAAACCAGCAATGTTCTGGCCACCCCAATGGTTTTGATGGGGCTTGAAATGTCATTGTCCTTAAAATGATTTACCGGGGAGCCAGCCATTCTGCAGGGCCCCAGAGCAGCGCTGTCTGGTCCTGTCACTAGAAACAGCAGCGCAGGGAATGACGTTCATCTGGCTCCATGGGCGTTAACTCTGAACCCTAATGACGGACAACAGTGCTGCATCCTTCCAGGGGCAGTGCCACCTGACGATGCATTGGAAGCGCGACCTGTGCTCTGCGTGGGCACTTGGCTTTCTGTCCCTCTCGGATGCTGGGAATCAGGGCGGGTGCCTCTTCCACTGTCCACTTCCTGACGCTGCTGGGCTGGGTGCCTGGGCCGCAGGGCCTGGCTTGTGGAAGGAAGGTGGCGTTTCATTAGGGTTGCAGGAGCATTCCTCTCGGGGTTGGGGCTTTTATCAAAGCTGCTTTTTCCATGACGGCCGTTTGGGGCCATATTTTACGGCAGCTTGGGGCTCTCTGCCTATCTCGCTGCTGAGTCATGGTTAGCAGAGAGCCAGGAATGCTCCCTCCCCATGCCCCGTTACGGCCAGCGACTAGGGCAGTCTGGCCCTGGGCATCCAGGGAGCACGGGCCCGTAGCAAAGCCAGAGAGCGGCCTGTGTGGGTGAGGGACGGGACCCTGGGGGGAACAGCTGGCACAGGCAGTCACCCGTCTGCTTTTCTTGGAGCCTTTTATACCGGCGAGGATTTAGATCTTGCTGCTGGTGCATTGATGGCTTCCCAGAGGGGCTCCTTGCACCCACTGCTGGGAACCGGCCAGCGCTCCAGCGGGCTCCGGCAAACTGGGCTGTGGCTCCATGCGCGCCAGCTGCCCGTCTCTCGTGGAGTCTGGGGGCTCCTTGGGGAGACGACTGTTGTAATCAGAGTCTCTCGACTCTGCTGCATCACACGTCTCCATCTCCAGAAAGTGGGGGACCGGGAGGGGCGATCTCTCGGTAACCCGGC